TAGCTTGGAGAATTGAGAAAAAGGTATTTTTTTTTACTTGGAGCTGCGTAAAAAGTAGTGAAAACCAAAAATTTATTCTACGTACATTTTCCATGATTTTATATTTTAAAAATATGAATATAAGGATTTTTTGTTTAATAAGATGGGTTGTATACTTTTATAGGAATTTGTTAAGTAACTTATTTAATGTTATTATACAAGTAAATACATAGTCATATTATATGATTATTCTGCTGCTTGTAGTGTACTAGTATTAGTGTTCAATGCAGTTTATTAAGTTCATTCGTTCGTTAAGAAACAGATTTTTTTCCATTAGTATTAGTTCCCTAGTTTCATGTTCGATTAATTAATAAACAATAAAGAATATTTTTTAGTTCCTATGTGTTTGAACCTATGGCCCGTTTAGTTTCGTTTTGCAAAATAAAACTAATTTTAATCATACTTAAAAAATTTTTAAAAAAACTTGAATGATTCACAAACGATAAAAAAACAGTGTTTAAAACATGTTTTAAACGGTTTAAAACAAATTGGTTTAAAACACATTCATTGTGTTAACCAGTATTTAAAACACTTGTTTTAAATATTTTAATTAAAACATAACAACCCTGCTTTCTAAAGGACTTGCTTAAGGCAGGGTTGCAGAGCATATGAGGGTAGAAAAAAAAAATGAATTTCAAACTCAATTCGCTTTTGATTCTAAACTAAATTGTGTGATATCCCGTGTAAAGATCTAAAAGCTAATCAGCCAGGGGATAAATTACAGGTTATATGAATAACATACTTTCGTAAAGTTATTTGTAAAACATGTAAGCTGCTAGCTGATCAGCTTTTAGGACCCCAGCGTTCGGCAAATCGCTAACAAAAAACAGCACGCCATCGGCTTTACGCCGCTGTTTTTTGCATAAAAATAGTGTCAGGATCTTATAGACGAAATTGTACACATCGCGGCAGCTTACATTACATTCATTATATTACATTAAGTAGGACTCCAATAATTTAGCAGTCTGACAGCACTACATGAAAATGGGTCGGAAAAGTCAAAAAGTATAGTGGGCACCCGTATTACGTAACTTAAAAAGTGGCATATCGTTTTTTTATAACATTAGGTAGGTTTTTTTTCATTATGCAAGACTTCCGAAAAATGTCTACCTGAAACTAGCTGGCATTCACTTCATCTTCACTTGTGGTAACTGTGAGTGTTGCCTATACGTCGTGACCCTTGAGCAATATGGTTTGAATCTGATAAGATGTAACCTCTGCCTCAAAGATGTCACTATTGTAGGCCATTTAAAGCTTCTATGACCTATGCTCAAGTTCTATACTATAGAACATTGTGTCACCCATCCATAGGTGGCACCCACAGCGACTACTACACAAGTTTATTATTGAGCCCCTGTGGGATAGACAAATACTGCCCATTTTTCAACGCCATTAAAACCACACTGGGTCTACTTAAAATCTGTCTCTTGGAATGTTTTGTTCAGTGCACCAGACTGTTTCCGAAATGAAAGTTATTCAATTCATCTGCATATTGTTATAAAAAATTGTGTTCAGGCAAAGAGCAGTTAAAGTACTATAACTACTGGGGTAAGCACTTTTTCATCATACATAAGCAAAAGTCCAAGAAACACTTCCAATATGGCATCAACAAGATGAAGCTTATTTTTGCAAAGGTCAGTACCGTACAATTTTCCGCTAACCATGAGGGAGAAGGTTAAGCACTCTGTAAAAAGAAGTTCAGTTAATACTGATGATGTAAGAGCAACGCCACTGGAAATGCAAATATACCTAAAATTCTATTTTGAAGTAACTGGCAATTGTGAGAACAACTGAGTGCATCGAATTCATATTTTTAGATGCCGAAAATATTTCATTATGCATTAATTAACAGGGGTCATAGTTTTATCAATGGCAGTATTGTTCATTCACTGTAAATGTACAAGGACGCCAAAGTGTTGTCATTCTCTAAATGCGCCCATCCACTTCTTGTATGACAGCTCGATTAGCTTATCCTACACGCCACAAATGCCACCTATGAAAAAATGGCACCAGGTTCTTAAACACGGTTTGAAGGGTGCAATCTCTTAGAAAGAGATGTACCTAATTTAATCTGGACCATAGCATCTATCAATACAATGTTTGTTTCAAAAGGGCAAAGAAGCCAGGCACTTTTGGAACAGTGCCTCAAAGCAATCTAATGATTAATAAATATTCTACCTGCAGAACCATATACTGTATTTGATGTCCAAAAGGGATCTGAAAAATAGCACCATCTTTGAGAGAATGGTAAAACACAAAAATTAATTTAGAAATCTACTGTGAAAAGGTTTTTTTTGTTCTGCTACTGTCTCATAGAAGGTGCTAGGATCTTCCATCACTTTGTGGCATCTATGTGCCGATTTGAAGGGGGTATCTTCAAGCATTGATTGATGTATTCCACCTGAAGATAGCCAATGTAAATAGGCATTGGAAATGCTCAAAGTCTATCTTGATGCACAGCATACATAATGTGGCATTGGCATTGCATATTAAATGACTGAAGTAGGTAAATGTCAGAGCTCATGCAACCTACAGTTTGCTACAGTTTTTGTTAAGTTTACCACTCCAAAAAATGTTGCTCAACTGTCATTATGATAAATGTGGCCACTTGATTGGTTTAGTAGCTGAAGTGACTGTCTAAAAGATGGCCTAACATAATTTTTTCAAGGACAGATCAATACTATGGAGCTGTCAAAGGAATCAAAAATCTTTGGAAACATGATATAAAGTTGTTTGTGAGGTTTGGAAAATCTGCACTAAATACAGACAGACAATAAGAAAGGCAAACTAATAAGCATTCCATCAATAATTAAACTGGTCTGGGTTGGTAGTATCTCCAACCATGTGCTTTCCAAAAACAACATTCTGAATGCTGCAAAATAATCTGGGAACTCAAAATAACTCGATTAGGATACCAGGTAAATGATCATATGTCATAGGGGAAAATTATTCATTTGTTGTCAGTTTTTATTTTTTTATTGATAGTAAAAATAAACGGTAACAAAAATAGTAATTTCAAGACAAAATTGAGCTCTTGGTAGGGACTTGAGAGAAAGCCGATAATGTATAAATTACATGTAATCAACAATGCACACATTTGAAACCAATATATTTTATGAACAATTGATAATAACTTGCATATCCATCAAAGTAGGTATGGACCAAATGCATTCTTCAAAAGTTGTTCTTGTATACGCCCAAGATTCTGTCTGTCCTACTTAAAATTATCTATGAAAAGTGGTTCAAGAGCAATGAAGCTGTCCTTAGAAATCAAGTACTCACCAGTAAAAAGCCTGGAATATAGTGAAAATTAATCCGATTCAGCCGATAACCCCAAAAAGTCGATGGAATTCAAGACATCCATGAAACACTGCTTAGTTTATTTAGTCCAGACAAAGAAACTTTACATTTTTTATCACGATATCTTTCACATTCACTGCACAAACAGAGTCAAGTATGTAGATTTTGTATTGTTTTGTCTTATGAGAGTCCATTTAATTGATGAGATTCCCAGATAGTTTGTAAATGTTTACTTATTTTCATAAGTATTTTCATAACACCCGTGAATCTACCGTGCAATCACGACGCCATCTTGTATCTTTTTCGACAGTGACATTAGTGACAACATAAACACGAACTATTCCGAACAGGACCGACAGGCTGGTTCGAGCAGAGTTGCCAACAGCTGCTGACATGCACATACGTATGTATCCGGATACTTAAAAAAAAGTTGTCTATTGCAAATCTTTGAGCGCCTCATTTTCTATAGAAATTGCAATAGAGACATGAAAATAATGCTCAAATCCAGTTACATTCAAAAACATCTGCGGTGAAGTTAACATTAATTTGGCTGACGTCGTAATGTGCACGAGAGAGAGAAGCTTCCACTATGTATGTATGTTAGAAAGAATGCGTCGATGGGCACGTAACTCGGGTTGCTGGGCAACGAGGTGCTTCTATCTCTTTCTAACACACGTATTTTTTTATACCAAAGCAACCGCGCATACGCAGCCCTAAATGCCAGGACACCGCAAAGAAATGCTGTTAATCAGATTTTTGAACTGCCTAAGGTTAGTAGAACTGGAAAAAGCTCCTCTTGTAAATTGTTTCACAATTTCGACACCCTCGGGACATAGGAGCGGTCGTATCGGCCAATTCTGGATGTACGAAGTTCGACACTATTAGGATGGGAGGCCGAAGGCTGGCGGTCTGTCTGATAGGCAAATGGCGCGGCGGCATCATGGAGGAGAGCTCTGAGGAGCAGAGCCCGTTGGTGTAGCGGCCAGTGGGCGGGAAAGAGTCGAGCATAAATAATGTAGTCGATGCGGCAGAACCCCAAACGTGTTAGCAATACTCCAGGCTAGGTCTTATCTGAGCCTTTTATAGAGTAAGGTCATGCGGGGAAAAGTACTTCTTAGCCCTAAAGAAGTAGCTTAGCTTTTTCCCAGCAGCTGCCGCTTTTGACGAGTTGTGTTCGGACCAGATCAAGTCCTCGGTGATCTGGACTCCGACCAACCGAAATGAACGGCTCTTTGGCAGAACTCCGCCATCCATCGAAACGAAATGAGCGCTAGGACACTTTTTGTTCGTCAAGGTACAGTGCTGTGTATTGGGAGCATTAAACTGTACAATATTGTTGTATCCCCAAGCAGTGATACCTCCAAGTCTCTCGACAGAGAGGAAGTCTCCGCTAGTCTTCTTTTTTTTCCAGCTCACCAGCAGAGTTCGGCTTGTCACTCTAAATTCCTGCATATAAAGTGCTGTCATCACCAACGCTGTGAATTGGGTTGATCGTTCAGGAAAAAAGTAACATCCGCGATGACGTTGTGGGATGAAGAGGAGAACCCATCAATTATTATACATTTCTGGCGCTTCTCTGTCGCACACATTACGTCAGTGGTATTTGGTTTTCAGTGTATAAATCTTGAAAATTCATTTTTTCAATTATTTAGAGCAGGTATAAAAAAAAGCCAGCGCCATTGGAAAAATATTCATCTTTAGCGCCCACATCGAGGAATGGGATTTACTCAAAAAAAATTAATTACCATTCAAATTCCCATCGCAGTTTTTTTCTAAACAAAACAATCGTGGGCACGGTCCCAAAGAAGGAACATTTCATCAAGTTTCTGCAAGACTAATTGTCATTCCTTGTAATTTTTTCTCTTATTTTGCTCATATTAAAGGTCATAGTAAATTTTCTTCTTAAATAATTACAGAGTAACTGTAACCTTATTTATTTTCAAATTATAAAAACATATGCACATAATTATTCATAATATGTGGGTGCCCCTATCAATATACTATGACTCATATTCTTTTAAAAGTCTTTTCTCTGCTGGGCTGTCTCTAACTAAGATCATAAATGATGGAGTTCCTCCTCGTATAACATACCTAAAAATAAAAACGAGACTGCAGTATCTGAAAAAATTAATTTTTAATTGCGCTAAGGACACCTCGAATGTCAAAATCCACCAAGTCGATTAAGATCCGCCATTTTAGCTTTATGATGTTTCAGCAAACCCAGTGACTATACCCTATTTCACGAGTATCCATCACGGTACAATGACAGATGGTTACCTGGTAATATTTCAAAATTCCCCATATCGGCGAAGGACACATAATTCTGACGGATCCGTCAATGGTAGACAGAAAGCGAATAACCAAAATGTCTATAATCAAATCCAAGCGGGTAACCAAAATTTCCGTATTATGTACCGCGGTTATAATATGGTTCAAGATGACACGCGGGATGGTGACGTCAGTTACTCGAATCGCTTGAACGCGTTGGTTTTAACCGCGGTTTGTTGCAAGTTGTTTATTTTAGAAAAGCGCGTATATAATTTCTGATTATTTTTATTATCACTTAATAATCGGTGCTTTTTCGTCTACAACGGGGCATGGAAAGTTGAAAAAAAGAAAACTTTCATAATATTAATGGGAGGAATGTTTTTTTTCCGAAACAAATTTTTACTGATGGAACCATGGCTTTGTAGCTATGATAACTTTCAATCATATATGTATGTCAAAGAAAATATTTTTTGATTTAGCAGAAATGGTGAAAAAGCGCTGAAAAAAGATATTAACAAAACCGTATACAGGTGGACATCATCCAGCGAGTTTATACGGCCATATTTTAATATTCTTGTGGTATATGGCTATACAGGATACTTTTTTAAGTGTAGGAACTAGATTTAAAGTGTCCCCAACAACAGTGATGATTATAAATAATAAGGTGCTCTCTTATGCTAAAACTGAAGTCAGCCTGTATCAAGTTTCCCAAAAATGAAGCTGAAGTACAATAAAAATATCCAATACCCGGTAAAATTCTAACTTGTCACATGTCAAATAATAACCAGAAATATAAAACTACTCCGGAGTTGGGTAAATACCACAATTTTGCGGTGATAACTATGACATATAACAGCTGATTCATGACGTCACGGATCTTATAACCAAACTGATAACCACACTCGCTTGAACGGATCGGTAAATACCAATCCAAAATGGTAAATACTATTTCCATTTGGTTATCCGCTTGAATTTGATTTATGTTATGTACCGCGGTTATAATATGGGTCAAGATGACATGGTTGATGAGGTCAGATACTCGAATCGCTTGAACGTGTTGGTTTTAGCCGCGGTTTTGTTGCAAGTTGTTTATTTTAGAAAAGCTCGTATATAATTTCTGATTATTTTTATCATCACTTAATAATCGGTGCTTTTTCGTCTACAACGGTGTATGGAAAGTTTAAAAAAGAAACCTTTCATAATACTAATGGGAGAAATGTTTTTTTTTCAGAAAAAAATGTTTAATGATGGAACCATGGCTTTGTAGCTATGATAACTTTCAATTCTCTAAACTTTTCCGCATGTCAAAGAAAACATTTATTGATTTAGCATAAATGATAGAAAAAAGCGATGAAAAAAGATATTAGCAAAACCACATACAGGTGGACATCATCCAGTGAGCTTATATGGCCATATTTTAATATTCTTGTGGTATATGGCTACACAGGATACTTTGTTAAGCATAGGAACTAGATTTAGAGTGTCCCCGACATCAGTAATGATTATAACTAATAAGGTGCTCTACTTTATGCTAAAACAGAAGTCAGCCTGTATCAAGTTTCCCAAAAATGAAGCTGAAGTACAATAAAAATATCCAATACCTGGCAAAATTCTAACTTGTCACATTTCAATAACCAAAAATATAAAACTACACCTGAGTTGGGTAAATACCACAATTTTGCGGTGACAACTATGACATATAACAGCTGAATCATGACGTCACGGACCTTATAACCAAACTGATAACCACACTCGCTTGAACGGATCGGTAAATAACAATCCAAAAGATAGAGCCACTTTTTTGTTTTGGTTTTTTGTATGCTACAGATTCATTTTGTACTTGCTAAAAGCTTTTATTTAAAAAAGTTCATTTGCATACAAAAAACAAAACGCTACAAACAAATTTTTGCTAGATTTACACTCAGTTCATTATTGCCAACAATGCTAACACAAAATGTCACCTGCTGATCAGCTGTTCACCTCAGTAGATGTCAAAGCGTGATGGATACTCGTGAAATAGGGTATACACAAATCTAGAGACACCTCTGATGTCAAGCACCACCAAGGTTTTTAGGCTATAGCCCGTGAAATAGGAAATTCAAGGATGCATTTTTTTATTAAAATCCGCCACTTCATAAAAGACAAATCCAACGACATCTCATATGTTAAAATCCATCAAGTGATTTGGCTTGTAGTGGATATTGCATTATTGGATTATTGAAATACACTATTTTGTTTTTATAAAAAACGAATCTGACAAGACCTCATATTTCAAATCCATGAAGCCATTTGGTTTGTAGCCTGTAGACTAGAATTTTTTCAATACATACGTCCCTCTTCTGAGGCAGTCAGGTAAAAGTATTTTGAGGCAACCCATAATATGTTTTAGATAGATCTTATAGATCAACCACATATTCTGAAATACCTACCCTGGCAAATTCAAAATTTGTTTTAATGTTGAATTAACATCAGTTTGTACAAGTTTCTTCTTAGCTGTTTCAAAGTAGACATTCAAATTTTCAGCTTTGTACTGATGTTTCTCATCCCACTCAGGGTATGTTTCAAATACTTGTAATATCTGGTCCCAGAATCTGAAAATTTTATATTCAAATACAGCTACTATTATGAAATATGCTTCCTTACATAGTATTCTCATGAAATTCTTGAATATAATCCATAATTTTATACTCAGGGTAAATGAATACAACTGGCCATATTAGATGGTTATATTCATCCAAGTTGACCCTATTATGGATTAGCTGAGGAAAACATGGTTCCAGTTTTTCCAGAGAAAGATCATCTATAAGAAAAATGAATTGATGTACAATAAAATTTTTACAATAACAAAATAATCACCTCCTTCTAGTTTATAACCCCTTTTAAGAATCTCTTTTACTAAATTATCCTCTTCCATTTGTTTTTTCTTTGCAAAAAACTGTTTCTTCCTCTCACTCTGCTCAATATCTTTTGCTAAACTCGCACACTTTTTCCTAAACTCCAATAATGTTTTGTTATCTTTCTCATTTTCTAGAATTGTATCACAATAATGTATTGCTTTGTTGTACTGCTTCATCTCATAACAACATTGAGCAGCTCTTTTAATAGCTTTGTCATAATTTGTTTTTAACTTAAGGGCTAATTCACAATCCTTCAAAGCTGACCTGAAAATGCAAATGGTGCAACACTGAGAAAAATCACTATGAGAAAATCATTAACAAAACCAGGATATTTGATGTTCTAAACCTTTAACAAGTGATTAAAATGATTAACTCAATAACCTGTCAAAAGCAATTATGTCGTAAGATAATAAAAATAGAGCTGCAGTTGACAATACCCCAGTAATCTATCCTGGGGGTGTCCTCAAATCTATTTGAAAATCATTACATTTTTAATTTGACAAATGAAAATATATTTTTTTTTTCATTATTGACCACATTTTTCCAACTCCAGTCTTACAATCCAATAGGTTTACAAAAGTGACACCACAGTGACAAAGTTAGAATATTTCACATGAGACACTGATGTTGAAATGACAGCACTAAATTTGCTCAAGTGCTGGACGATTTTGTTTAAGAAATATTAAATTTAAGACTCTAATCTTTGATTTGGGACCAAAAACCCACACACAATCGGATCAGCTACAAGCACTTGCAAACCTAGGAGAACAAGGACACCCTCCCAAATGTAGGGAGGTACAATCCACAACTCTGTAAGAACTTGATGCAAAGAGTGCCCTGTTTTCTGAAAAAAATAAATTCAGACACTGTTCCCAAATTATTCTCACCTGTAATTTTTTAGAAAATAATGTGCAGCAGCTCTATTATTCAATAATGTCGCATCTATATCGGGATTTCCACATTTTACTTTAAGTCCTTCTGTATAAGCTATAACAGCTAGTCTGTAGTTTTTATATTTGAAATTGTAATTACCATCTTCCTTATAATTCAGAGCTAGCTCTAAAAATTTAAATCATTTAAAACAGCCAGTATTGTTTTTCCAAATATGTTATGTTATAAATGAAAGTAAACTATTGCTGTTATCCAATTGGGAATCCAGGAAATAAAAACTAAAATACTTTAAATTAAAAGTGGATTGCAAATTGTATGAACTGGGATTAAAAACCTTACTGAGTATGCCACACCTTCAGGTTTATTTTCTTCAGGATCATATTTTAATTTCTGTAAACCTTCAAATAATGGATGAACTTCATCTCCTGGCTTAGGGGCTCTTTCATGAAAAAAGGATGTCTTGCCATTTCCTTAAATTAAAAATTGCATGCATATTTTGCAGGTTTAACATACTCACAATAGTGTAATATGGAATTGTACACAAAAAAATCTTGGTTGGAGCACTTTTTATATGGAAATTTGTATAAAATACCATCTTTCATCAACACCTTAACATCAAATAGAAAATTAGTGACATTGGAGAATAGACAACAAGAGATATGATAAGAAAAATAAAATAAGATTAAAAAGGTATATTTGCTAAAGATGAGTGAATAAATAATCTAAAACAGTATCTTGTAGAATTGACAGGGGAAAAACAACAAATGGATAAACTAACATATAATTGTGTAAAATTAACAAAAACAGGCTAATAAATAAACTAAAACAATATTTTCTGAAATAATATAAATGGTAATCAAAAACAACAAATAAAACCAGTAACTTAAACAGTCTTTATCCTAAAACAACATAATGAAGATGAAATGAAGTAAAAATAGGATTCAGCACTGTAAAAATTCGCATCCATCCTGTGATCAAAATTCGATATCCTGTGGTTCATTCTCCAGCATCGTTTTGTGTTGCTTTTGACTTAAAGGTATTAATGGAAAATGGTGTTTTGGAAAAACAAATTTCCATATAAGTGCTTCATCCAAGATTCTTTTTGTGCAAAATTACGTATTGCACTGTTGTGTACATGTTAAACCTGCAACCACGTATTTAGGGTTTTCCCTAAATACGTGGTTTTGTTAAGTGTACCATCACCCATATTTTTATACAATGTTAGAAGAAAATATACCTCTTCCCAACGATCTTCAGGCCACCCATCTTCGTATTTCTTTCGAGGAAGTTTTTCAATAAATTCATCGAGTTCCTTATCCAGCTTTGCAGCTAGTGCCATCCTTTCCTCGTCAGTCATCGACATTTTTATTGGTTTAACACCTTCATTAGACTTGTCGTCACCCATATTTGTAACAAATATTGCTTTATTCTTCAGAATTCTAGTGATTTTCCATATTCATCTAAAAATTGTATTTAAAAACGCACTCCCACTGTTGACAAAAAGAATTTTAGGTTACGTACGTTCACGAGGTGTCTGGGATAGGACGACCTTATGGAATTAGGCCACGCCTCTTTTTCTACATCAGCACATGAGTATTCAAAGATAATAGTAGGATTCATAGGAATTTCCAGATTCTCAAGTATCGTTACAAAAAGAATCTATATAGCTCAGTGAATAATCCACGCTTAATACATCGGAAATAAAATTTTAAGCTTACCACATATCACAGACATTGCATTGTACTGGTAATTTTGGCCTTTGTCTGACAACCTATTTTATGTAAGGATGGTAGCTAAATAGCCTATAGTATAGTTGTAGTCACCGTTCTTGGCGGTTATGTCATCAACGAAATATGAAATAAGTAAACAGATCGAGTCTCCGTACCATGGGCAGAACACTGCACTGAAGATAAGTCAGCGCATCTGCAACTCTCTCCAGTACGCATGAAGTGGGTAACAGGGGGCCGCTGTTTTCATTCTCTGCCTGGAAATACTCTAATAAAATTAGCAAGAAGTGTCGGCCTTCTCCATTGATCGTATTTCTGGGCACTGTACAATTTTATATTGAAGATTGATAACATTACAACTGGAACTGCACGCCGATGTAAAGTAAGTTGTCACTCTGACAAATATGATTGATTGGCACTCATACGTAAGGACAAAGTTTTTGATACGCAGACACACAACTAAACGTATGGCTTTGAGGTTACCGAACAAACGTTGACACATCCCTTATGGGTTGCATGTTCACGTATGAGGGAGATGGAGATATACGGGGTGTCCGTCGAAATAAGGGACAACATTTTTCTACGTGTTCCTCAGGTCAATTCAAAAATACGTGGGTCCGCAAGTGCTTCCTTATCGAGATAACGAGTTTTTTGTTTTTAGGGTGCTAATGGTGGGAAAACCACAATATTGTTGGAAAATTACATTTATTTAACACAAAATTACTAGGTACAATAAAAATAACTATTATATTCACAATAGTTGTTCAAAGAGTCCATCTTCACACTGTAAACATAGTATAGCCGGTTCAATAATGTGACTGGTGGCTTTCCCAATAACAATACGATTACTTCTTATGTCGTCAGCAACATATCAGTAATTTTACGGAGTAGTTCAGGCCTGGTATGCGATTTCTCGGCATACACTAAAGACTTCATATGTCCCCACAAGCAATAATCCAAGGGATTTAAATCGGGCGAGCGAGGTGACCAAGAAACTGCGCCCCCTCGTCCAATCCAATGCCCAGGAAGTGTTATTTAAATACTTTTTGCAAAGTTCAATCAAACTGAACACAACTACTACGTCAACAAACAAACAAACTCCAGCGTATTAATCGGGCAGTACAACTAACAGTATTAAATTTTTTGTTAAATAAAAGTAATTTTCCAACAATATTGTGGTTTTCGCCCACTAAAAATAAAAAATCATATCTCGATAAGGAAGCATTTGCGGACCCATGTTCATACGACTTTTTTGACTCGAATTGTCCTGATTAACACGCAGAAAAAATGTGTCCCTTACCTCGCGGGACACCCTGTATAAAGGGATACTGGTAGTCTTACTTTAATCAATTTCAAGTGGATAACCAAATGAAAATGGTATTTACCATTTTGGGTTGGTATTTACCGATCCGTCCAAGCGAGTATAGTTATCAGTTTGTTTATACGATCCGTGACGTCATGAATCAGCTGTTATATGTCATAGTTATCACTGCAAAATTGTGGTATTTACCCAACTAATCAAATTCAAGCGAATAACCAAAATTTCTGTGTTATGTGCCGCGGTTATAATATGGTTCAAGATGACACACGGGTTGATGACGTCAGTTACACGAATCGCTTGAACGCGTTGGTTTTAACCGCGGTTTTGTTGCAAGTTGTTTATTTTATAAAAGCGCGTATATAATCTCTGATTATTTTTATTATTACTTAATAATCGGTGCTTTTTCGTCTACAACTGTATATGGAAAGTTTAAATAAGAAACCTTTCATAATATTCATGGAAGAAATGCTTTTTTCAGATTTTTTTTTAATGATGGAACCATGGCTTTGTAGCTATGATAACTTTCAATTCTCTAAATTTTTCCGCATGTCAAAGAAAACATTTATTGATTCAGCAGAAATGATGAAAAAAGAAATTAGCAAAACCGTATACAGGTGGATATCATCTAGTGAGTTTATATGGCCATATTTTAATATTCTTGCGGTATATGGCTACACAGGATACTTTGTTAAGCATAGGAACTACATTTAAAGTGTCCCCAACAACCGTAATGAGTATAACTAATAAGGTGCTCCACTTTATGGTAAAACAGAAGTCAGCCTGTATCAATTTTCTCAAAAATGAAGCTGAAGTACAATAACAATATCCAAAACCCGGCAAAATTCTAACTTGTCACATTTCAAATAATAACCAGAAATATAAAACTGCTATTGAGTTGGGTAAATACCACAATTTTGCGGTGATAACTATCACATATAACAGCTGATTCGTGACGTCACGGATTTATAACCAAACTGATAACTACACTCGCTTGAACGGATTAGTAAATACCAAGCCAAAATGGTAAATACCATTTCCATTTGGTTATCCGCTTGAATTTGATTACTGAGGAGTAGTTTTATATTTCTGGTTATTATTTGAAATGTGTCAAGTTAGAATTTTGCCGGGTATTGGATATTGTTATTGTATTTCACCTTCATTTTTGGGAAACTTGATACAGGCTGACTTCAGTTTTACCATAAAGTGGAGCACCTTTTTAGTTATACTCATGACTGTTGTTGATGGGGACACTTTAAATGTAGTTCCTATGCTTAAAAAAGTATCCTGTGTAGTCATATACCACAAGAATATTAAAATATGGCCATATAAACTCACTAGATGATGTCCACCTGTATACGGTTTTGCTAATATCTTTTTTCATCATTTCTGCTGAATCAATAAATGTTTTCTTTGACATGCGGAAAACTTTAGAGAATTGAAAGTTACCATAGCTACAAAGCCATGGTTCCATCATTAAAAAAAAAACTGAAAATAAAAATTCTCCCATGAATATTATGAAAGGTTTCTTTTTTAAACTTTCCATACACAGTTGTAGACGAAAAGGCACCGATTATTAAGTGATAATAAAAATAATCAGAGATTATATACGCGCTTTTCTAAAATAAACAACTTGCAACAAAACCGCGGTTAAAACCAACGCGTTCAAGCGATTCGTGTAACTGACGTCATCAACCCCTGTGTCATCTTGAACCGCGGCACATAACACAGAAATTTTGGTTATTCGCTGGGATTTGATTTTTGACTCGCCAAGAACGGTGTCGATAACTATAGCTAATATCTAATATCAATCACGTGAGAACACATTTGACGGCTCCTATTTCCTGGACTATAGCAACCGGTATGTTCCGTAACGAAGGCTGCGAATCTGCATGAACAGTCACCCAACTGACAATACCATGACATTATATATAGGGGATAGGGGTTATATTTTGTAAATAAACCACATACCAGATTCCACATACTTTGAAGCCGTTTTTTAGGAAAATCCATTTTTTATGGATTCACAAACCTCTCCAAGTGCTTACAATGTCTGACAGCGAGTCCGATGCTTCCGAACAGGGATTTAATTTTTTTGGAACACCCCTAGATCCAATAGATAAAGGTATATATGTTTCACATAAGTTTTAACAGATATAAATTCGTTCTATTTGTAGATGAAATTCCAAGAAAGAAGCCTATATCCGTTGAAGAACAAATTGCTACTGATTCTCATGGACGAAGAAGATTCCATGGAGCCTTCACTGGTGGTTTTTCCGCGGGTTTCTTTAATACTGTTGGCTCTCTGGAAGGATGGACACCAAACGAATTCAAAAGCAGTCGGGGAGAAAAAGCTCATACCATGGTTCAAAAACCAGAAGATTTTATGGATGATGAGGATATGGGTGAATTTGGAATTGCCCCTCAAACTATCAGGGCAACTAAAGACTACTCAACAGCAAAAAAACGAAAAAGAACACTTGCTAAGGGTCCAATACCTGGTGAACCAGTTTTGGAAACATTTATAAATGCTGGAAATGACACCATAGGTTACCTGCTACTAAAAAATATTGGTATTCAAGATAAGATTGCAAGAAAAAATAGGGAACAAAGTGCAGGCTCTGTTAAAGTCTATGGCTGTGCAATGCCTGATAGGTGTGAAATATCAGATGATATGGAAAATAAACTATACATTATTTCCAAAATTTATACAAATTGCTTAGCAAATCCTAAGGATAATACATTTGGAATGGGATATAAAGGATTAGATAGAAGTATCAATACATCATCATCTACAAGTCTTCTAATAAAAGCAAAAAATAATAAAAATGTCCATTTCACAGGACAAGCTTTTGGTGTTGGAGCTTTTGAAGAAGATGATGGTGACATTTATTCAAAAGATGATATGAGTAACTATGACTTTGAACTAACTTCAGAAAAAACAAGGTCCAGAGATGGTGGATATAATAGTAACTTGGTTTACAATATTTTCAAGAAAAACAAGACACCTCTTCTTTGTAAAAAGCAGTTTCCAACTATAAATATACCATCCGGATTCACTGGTAAACATAAAGTCAGGATATCTAGGTTTGAACCAGTTAAAGAAAATCCAGAAACTACACATGAAAAACCTAAAATTAACTCGACAGTCAGAGCAAGGTATTTGGGTGAACCAGAATTAACAGCATCTACTTCTAATCAAGCAGATGTGACAAAAAATATCAAAACTGACACCAACATTATCACTACTAAGCCTGGGGATTCAATCCAAGCTTTACTGTGTCTGGATAGATTTGTGTCTGCCTCTCATAAGGAAGAGGTAAACAATATTTTAGAACCAGTTCAAAGGATGTCAACCTGCTTTGGAACTCAACAAATGCAAGATGCTGTTAAAATGAAAATGTTTGGCCCTTTAACAAGAACTACATCAGACTGGCATCCTTGTGCTCTATTATGCGAGAGGTTCAATGTACCTGAACCATTTACAGAGTAAGTATGAAAAATTCTTATACAGTGATAACCAAATTTGTCTTATGGGTTGATTCAAATGTGTATGAGAGAGAAACACAAGAATTGTGTATCCACACATGTTAGAAAGAGATGGAAGCCAGTTGAAGAGCAAAGCTTGCCATGTTGCCAATATGTTACACCAGAAAATGTTCGCACAGGCTTCTGCAATAGGTTACTACACAACATTTAATTTAATATTTTGTTTTCATTTTAATTAGAATTATTTATTTCAATTTTGATGCGACTTAATGTTTTAATTTATTTTAGAATTATTTTTGGTATCCACCGATTGTGATAAAATCAACACATCCTGAGTTGTTGTTACACTCGCGGTCGTAAAATGAAACAAATACCATGCGATGTTGCCAAGCTAACCAATGATGCAATGTTGCAGAATTTGTGGCGATCCTGACCTAATATGAAGCTCCGTCAGAACCGACCCGGAATCGATCCTAAACAGATTCGATAATAAAATCATTATATGGGCATAGGGAATAAACTAACGCATATTTCCAACATGCATCTTAATTCAATGAACTGGTGTAACGTCTTTACAACGTGGCAGATTGCCGAGTCGGCGTTACTAGGCAACGCGATGATGAGCTTCGCTATCCAGTCGGCTTCTATCTCTTTCTAACGTATGTGTCTATATACACTTCATCTTTCATAAACATTGAAGCAATCAGACAAATTTGGATCTCAGTGTATATGACTTTGTAATTCAAGGTCAAATGTCAGATTATAACATTGAACCAATATTCATCTTTTATATTCAATGTCTGATGTCTCCATATCTACTTCAGATTACTGCATTTTTCATTTATTGTTTTTTATTTTCCAGCCAAATAGATTTTAAGCAACATAAAAGAAGAAAAAACCTGATCTTTGAACAACAAACATTTTCTGAAGAATCGTCAATTTCCAAAGGAGGAATTTCTGAAGCAGGCATTAAGTCAGAGGCAGTAGATGACAATAGAGGCAGTACAGAATCAACCACTTCATCTCAAACCAGTACTGATGCTGAAAAAGAAAGTAGTGAAGTAAACAAAAGCTATGGAATTGAAGCTGCTAAAAACATGGTTACCCACTGTGAAACAATCAATCAAGGGACTGTCCCCCAGAGTGATGAATGCAAAAATAATATTGGAGATGCAGATAAAAATGATAACGTTAAAGATATTACAGAGAAGATAAACATAGCTGAAAAAGTAGATCTATTTAAGGCTGTTTTTCTAAGCAGTGATGATGAATCAGAGGAAGAAACAGAAGCTTTTTCTGAAGATAGGAATGATCTTGTGGAAACTGTATTGTCAGAGCCATTGATACCCTTAGTAAGAAATGCAAAGCAAGGTATCTTGTCAAACTTGAGTTTCAACAACCTGTCTGGGGAAAGTTCTACTGTTACACCAGAAATTAAAGAGGTGAAAATAGATGTGAATGATACATCATCAGTAACATTATATGGGCCTTCCTTACCAGTACAGAAAATTAAACAGAATGTAACAAATATTCACATCAGTTCAGATAGCAATGATGAATGGATAGAGAAAGATGAATCTAAACATAAGAAACATAAAAGTAAAAAGAAAAAATCAAAAGATAAAAAGCACAGAAAACATAAAAAGCATTAAAGTTAATGTTCACTTGTTATTTTATATGTGATTTGTAAATAAAATTAAGATTAATTTATGTTTTTTTATTAAAGTAATGGATGCAAAAAATATAACAAACCTTGCACATTAGGTTGTGGTGGAGGTGAAAATAGATGTGAATGATACATTATCAGTAACATTATATGGGCCTTCCTTACCAACAGAGAAAATTAAACAAAATGTAACAAATATTCGCATCAGTTCAGATATTAATGATGAATGGAATGAGAAAGATTAATCTAAAAGTAAAAAGAAAAATTCAAAGAAAAAGGAGGTTTACCACGTTCACTGCCGCTGGCTCTTATAAGAGTCAACGCAAGATGTTCGCTGGTGCCACCCACTCTTATCAGAGCCAAGGTACAATACTGCCAATCTTGTAGCAAGAAGGGAATCCATATCCAAATGTTGTACGAATGTAGAACATGCTCTGATGTTCCAGGATTCTGCTTGGAGTGCAGTGACATTATTCACAAATAATGTTTTGCACTAAAAATAGTCAGCATTCACCACAAATTCATGTTTGTATTCTAAAAAAAGTTGTGTCATTTCTTATTTTCGATTAGATTTCATCACATTAGCTGTATATATTATTTACCGGAAAAGTTTTTGTTATACTTTTATGTTCTCTACTATTTTGAGTTGCAAAAATTATTTTTAATACTTTATTTTTGTTAACTGTCGAAAATAAATGTGTTTTTTTGCTTTTAGTTATTTCTATTATAAAAAACAAATAATTATCTTCCGACTCTCATAAGCGCCAGCTGGCACACAGGAAACCGATTTGTAAGTCAGTGCCATCGGCTCTTAGAAGAGCCACAAAAAATCTTATAATTAAAAAACATTTTACAAAAATACCTCAATAACTGATTTTACAAAGTTATACTACCAAAATAACAAATTAATCATTATACAACTAATTGGCTACTGGGTAAAACCAACCGAAAAAAGGTGGCAGTTAATGTTCATTATTTGATATTGCATGTGATTTTTAAAGAAAACTAAGATTAATTTATGTTTTTTTATTAAAGTAATGGATACAGAAAATATAACAAAGCTTCCACATTTTGTTTTATTCCTATACTAGCACTAACATCTTGTTCAGTCATTTCAATATGGCAAAAAAGAGTTATTTTAATAACAAAAAGAGACCTAACATTATAGAACAATATTTATTTTTCACAATAATGATTATAAATACATTCAGCATCACAGCAGTTTCCATCTATATCATATGGACACATTATTGAAAATGGATCATTTATAATTCTATTTACTGTATCTAAAGGGGAAACATATTGTGGTATGTTACCATTTGGTTGTCCTGTATCATTCATATCAGTTTCAATACATTTACCAGCAATATTATCTTTACTCATGATTTCAACTTGATCTTTGTCTGATCCGTTCTCTTTATTTGGATTGGAAGTAAGGGTGTTTGTTGATATTTCATTCAATAAATCAGTAATTTTTTCAGTTTTTTTCATAGGTGTTGATGTAACTACATGATTAGCAACATTTTTGCTAACCTTCTTGTCAATTTCTTCTTTTTTAGCAACAAGTTCTTTAACATGAATTGAAAAGGTTTGGTGAGCAGCAATTGATTTTTTCTTGGCTTCATTTAGTTCTTGCAAAATCTTTTTTACCTGTTCATCATACTTTTTCCTCTCACTGCTAGAGTCTGTTATTTTTTTAATAGTAGGTAACAGACTTGCATATTTGTGTTGTATTTGAGACCTTCCATCCTTGTTCACTTGCATTTCTTTTAAGGTTTTATGCAGCAGTTTTAGATCTTCATTTATATCATTTGATGGTCCTTTTTTGTTTACCTCAATATGCTTATTTATCAAAACCCTATTTTTATTATTCTTGGTATTTACTTTACCCACAACATTGGTTTTTAAGGTAGTTTTTTTCAGTTTCATTTTTTTAGCATCTTCTAACCTTTTGATAAGGTTTTTATACTCCAGTTGCTTATTTTTTGGCAACAATTTAACACAAGATTTTTCCAATTTATCTTTTGTGCTTTCCTGTTTCAAAACTTCTTTGGCTTCAACCTTAGCTCTTTGAGACTTGAGAAAAGCATCGACAGCTGATTCTATATCAACAATATTGTTAATTGGAGGATTTGGTTTCAATGGCACATCAGATTTTTTGATAAAGCTATTATCTTCTGAATCAGAGTCATCATTTAAATTTATAATTAAAGGTTTAACTTTAGGCAATTGCAATGGATGAGTTTTGAAAATTGTTTGTTTTTCTGATCTGGTTATAATTTTATATTCAGGTTTAATTAAAGGATTTGCTGTTGAAGCTATAGTTTCAGTAGATTTTACTGCAAAATTTTCAGTGTTTTTTGTCATCTTTTTAGTCATTGATGCTAACAGCAAAGCTCTCAAAACATCTTCATCCTCATCATTATCTTCTTTTTCTGTCTCTTCCAAATTTTCATTTTGCTTTCGTGGTACTTCTACATGTTCTATACAGATTACTTTATTCTGAGGTTCAATTATATTTGTATCATTTTCTAGTTTTAATTCCACGTTTTCTAAACAGTCTTTAGGGGGGGTCTTGACAATATCCTTGAATTTTCTTTTTCTATATTTGAATTTGTTAAGTACTGCTGTTTTTAAAGCTTCTGATCTTAAAGCATATAATTCAGGATCTAATTCCTCACTATTGGAATTAGATTGTTTTTCTTCTAAAATACATTCCTTTTTGGACATTCCTCTTAACCTAGTTCTTAAACTATTATTTTTTTGTTCTTCATTTGAATCATTATCAACCCTGATAGCAGCTTTCAACTGCTCTTGTAATACCTTATCTAATTTAGCAAACTCATCAGAGTCACTTTTAGACGTTACCCGTTTTCTATGCTTTCGTTTTCTGTACGTTTTTTTCCTCTTTCTGATAGGTTTTTCATCATAGAAGATTGGCGAGTCATCTTCAGAAACGCTGCTTAAATAAATAGCTGGTAAATGTTCTCTAGAAGATACAGACTTACCGAAAACTGAGTATGGTAAGGATATAGAATTATCTGAAATATCTTCAAATTCATCGTCAACTATTTCACCTTCTTCTCTCTCGGAGCTCACAGGTGAGGTCCTTAGCGCCTCGAAGGGGGACTCGTGGGTGCACTGAAAACAAGAATTCGAGGGCTCAGATGGCACAAATTATATTAATATTACCGGATCCATTGACTGCAGTGAGATTTAGTAGATCTTATGGGAAAATTATTGTTAAAAATCACAGTGAAAATGTTCTTTTCCAAAATCCACCATATATCCACCCAAAATGACGCAATTTAACTGACAGTCACCTGACAGTGACAGATCTTTGACAAGATGCCCGCCAAGCTAGAAGATGCGAAACCTACTTGGTTACAATATTCACTTATCTGTCTTACAGCTCATTGTTACTGGGATTAGAGTATATTTGGTATTATGACCAGAAAAGTAATCACGTCTACTACAGGTGTACTACAGCTCCATTCCGGATACCCAAACTTCTCAAAGAGAGCTGAAATGGCGGCGTAAAAGATTCGGTTCATTAGCAAGCATTAGATTCGATTCTCTCATTTAGAATTGCCCATCACGGATCCTATAAATGCGTTTTGTGATTTGATCAAACGCAAAACTTGCGCAAAATCAAACTGGAAACATGACGTCACTCCAAAATGAGGATATAAAATATAGAATTTCCTTATTTGTATGATTTATAAAAAATATTGGCGAAACGTACATTTGGTGAGTGTATTTTATTGTACTGTTAAACATTTTACACCCTTTTGCTCTCGAACCATTTCATTGCATTGTTGAAATCAGATTGACTTTTTTCTAATGGATCAACAAATTTGATTTACCTAGTACACCCTTTCAAAATCTAATCTAATAGATATCAAGTGATTTTGGTTTGTCTAATTTAGAATAAGTACTTGAAAACAATCAGTTTAGCGATAATTTGTGTCAAAAAAAAAAACTAGGCTTCTGAGACCGCTATCTAAAAATATCCAATGACTTCTCGCTTTTACACATTCATTCTGTGACATATTTTAGAAAATAGGCTATTTTTACGCATAGATAGAAAAAGACCAATGGTATCGGCGCTTCTACAGTACACTTTCTCATTTTACTTTTTACTTATTTCTTTTTTAGTGCAATGCTTTAGCTGACGATCAGATACTTGACGACGTAGAAAAATGCCTGTTTTAAGCCCCCATCGTAGTTCGGCTTCTGCTTTAAGCAGCTCTTATAGGTCAAGTCTTGGTTCATCAGCCTTAGACAGACCATTCTTCGCATCATCTTCGTATAGCCCAAGAATAACCAGTTATTCAGAACGTTATAGTACAAGGTCATTTACAGATTCAGATGGACGCAGAGTTTATTCTAGGTGAGCTGAGAAAACTATTTATTTCATAGAAAACAACACTTTTGAATAACATGGTTATGAAAGTTGTGCTTGTCAAGTTGAGCTCTATACAAAATTCATACCAGTTTAAAGTGTAAACATTGTAATTTTTTCAATAACAGCTATAACCTATCCATCCAAAGTGTTGCTGAAACAAAACATCAGATAATGTTAATTGACTGTACATTCTATAGCTGCTGAACATTACTTGAAAATTATGATTGCTAATAGCTCAAGATTCATTTGATTAGCAGCAAGATGTAAAAAAATAAAACCATCCACAATTAGTTGAAAAATAGCCATGTTTTGAATAGCAAGTTGCAGAATAATCAGACTGTGTTTTGACTCTTAATCAATAAAATATCAGAAACAAACTAGATGTATTGGTAACCAGATAATAGAATGCAGTGTTACCATTTGTCCTCACTTCAACATATCGCTGCTTCTCAAGAATAATGACACTATCCAAAAAACCGAGAAATATTAGTTAAAATTGCAGATCGACTCCAAGTATTGACTATTTTATCAGGAATAAAGACATTTGCAATTGTTTTAAACTCTTCGCCAGAAATGACGCTAGTGTCATTGGTCGTTAATATGGGGTTTTGTCATGAATAATGTCATATTGCAGTTACGGCTTGGCTTTCAAAGCGTACACTTACATTTTTCTCAAGAATAACGTCATATTAGAGCAAAGTACGCTAATAACTCACCATGTTAATCAAGAATAGTGGCATAAAGTGCATTGTGACTATCTTCCTACAACATAAAAATTCGGAAAGTGAGTCATTGAAACTACTCAATGTTAATAAGGGTAGAATTTCAACATTCTGGAACATTGTTCTACAAAACTCACAGTGAGACTGATTTTCATAAAGTTGAGGTAGATAAAAAATCTTATAGAAGGTCTAAGCAAAATGAAACAACAAAAAGAGGTCCTAGAGTTGCTCTGTAAAGCATACAAACATAAGATTCCCATTTCAGAGAAAAGGAAAAGTGCCTTACATAATTTAGTGAAAAAATATCATACTCGTACTATGAGGAATTTTGCAATAATTTGTAACCAATTTTTGTTTTCCAATTGTTTTTTTTTCTGAACTTACCTTTGATTTCTTAGTTCCATGTAGCCTTTAAAATGTTGTTAGTTGTGTATCATTGGTAGTAATATTAAAATAAATTTTTCCTCTTTGTTCTGTAACCACAAATTATTTGTCATATGTTTTTTAAAAATGCTTTATTTTTTTAGGAATAATGTCACATTCCTGTAAAGTTGCAAAAAGAGTAATAAATTGGGATATTTTTGAAAACACTGATCTTTTATTCAGTAATCGGAAATTTATTTAATCGATAATTTTTCTAAATTCAAATTATTAACTTTATCTTCAGTTATCTGAAATTGTTCTTCAAATAATATTTAAAATGCCTCGTCTAAAAAAAAGCTTTTTTTGAATAGTGTCACTATTCCTGAGAAACAGCGATGTCATTATTAATTTGTCAAAATCTAGAATCGTGCTTGCAATGGACAATCTTACATTTACCTTATCCTCAAATATTTTCAAAATGAAAATTGCATATAATAAGGATATTGAGTGTAGTTTGAACATCCTTTGAACTATTTTTTCAGATCTGGGTCCATAACAGAAGATGGAGTTACAACACGCTTTAGAGAAGAATCCAGAGAACCAAGCTTGAGACGTGAATCTTTTGGTAGAGATTCTGGAATAAGTTCAATAAGGGAAAACTCAGTTCTAGATTACCCTAGAAGAGATAGCTCGTTGTCTAGAAGTGATAGAGTGTCCACAGTTAATGTTTTAGATTCAGTGGCCGAATTAAGGAATAAATATTCACCTGCTAATTATGTGCCTGCTTGCTTAAGGAAAAATGAGAATATTTCTAGATCCAAGTCTATTAATGATATAGGTACGATGTTTGTTTTTGTAGCACCAACCCACACAGATAGTAGTTAGCTTTTGTTCTAAAACAACACATCGTACTGTATATTTTTTTATTGTAAAACATTTCTTCCTTACCACCTTAATTGTTATGAATTTAAAAAATTATATTAACCAAAATCCTACCAAAAAATTGTCAAGTGACAAATATTTCCAACCCTGGAATTATCAGCCATCAATTTATCCCTTTAAAAAAAACTGTCTAAAAATGAAGTGGATATGATTGAAATTTGGGATGTTTGGCCAATATATATATATTTTTTTTTAATCTACTATTAACCCCAATGCTCATTTTTCATGAGTTCTTTTATCTGCGAAATAAGTATAATAATGATATAAAATGTTCCTAAAGTTGGGAGTTTCTTTATGCAGCATATAGTTTTTGTAAAAATAAGCATATTTTTGAATTAAAACATGCACCAAAAACTTGAAAGATAATCAAAAAAAGCAGCGTTATCAGAACAGAGCTTGGCTCAAACATGGAAAAATACGGCACGCATCAGCTACACGCCGCGAGCCGTGTAGGTAAACCAAGCTGTTTGTTTATAAATACAAACATGACATCTTCCCATAGCAATAATGAGCTAGTTGAATTGATGTGATGCTTCATGGGTGTATTCAGATTACTTTCCTGCACGTTTCCATCTAGCGCCGTGAAGGTTTGTTTATCTAGTGCAAAGACCATTTAAATCAAACAACAACAACTTTAAACATTACTTATAAGCGACGTGACAAAAGGTAAATTTTCAAATAAACAGCCAGTACTTTTCATCAATTTTGCTGTTGTTTTACCTCACACCTTTGTTATTTCATTTGTAGTTATTTCTGAAAAAGAAAGTCCTAACTTTCAGACCACCCTTTATTGTCTCATTGACTACACACTAATATTTTAATTATCGTGATAAATGTCTTCATATTTGTATTTACCAACAGATTTTTTTTTGATAAATAAAATTTTGTTGTAGGTTTGCCTCCCCTTGAGGCTAAAACGTCTAAAAAAAAGGTAACTGATCGAACTGACAGTGTTTATACTAACAGTGTGTATTCTAACAATACTAATATAACAGACAACTCAAATGATGAAGATGATAATGGAAACAGAGCCTCCGTAGCAGATCTTTGCAAAAAGTTTGATGACAAACCACTCAAACTGAGAAACGGCACATCACACCTCTCGAATAAGACAATAGAGGGCAAGCTTAAACAGCATGAAACAACAGACACAAAACTCACTAATGGAAAGTGCAAGACAAACAGTGTGAAAAAATCAAGCAATGGTTTGTCATCTGTTAAAAAGAGTGACACTACATCAGTCGAAAAATGTCAAAATAACACTGATATCTTACAGTCAAACTCTAAATTGGATGTGAATGATGAGGAAAATATAAAAAATGGGCCAGAAGTCGATAGGGATGATTTAAGGGACGAAATCACAGAATCATCTGATACCACGCCACCAAGAAGCAATTCAAGAGTTAACAACTTTGCCTCTTATATTCCATCGAAAGATTTCCAGAAGGGTGATGAAACTTCTGGAGAACCAGATACAACAGATGATTCCAAAAATTATATGGATAACAAGGAAAGCTATGTGGAGAAGATTTTACCGCAAAATGTAAGTAAACCAATGCTTTTATAGTTGTATTTATTCTCCATAGGACTTTTCAACATGGCGTTATCATTTTTAAAACAAAGAAAAATGTACTTTTGCTACTCCAATCCGTACTGAGTCGAAATATGAACATTTACATTGATTTAGACATTTTTACATATGTGTAGTGAATGTTCTGTGTTGTGTTCGAATTTATTCTAACAATACTAACGTGTTTTTTTATGTTTTTGGACATTCATTTATAGAATTCGGAGTCGCATTATCTACTAAACGTTTTTGTGTCATAATAACATTATTGTATTCATTGTGTCATTTCAATCAACATGTGTTATTCTCGCGGTCAACAATTCATTGACTAGCACCTGCTG